TCCAGAGCGGCGGCAACGACGGACCCGTGGCGAAGACACCGGAGCATGAGGTGAAGGTTCGTTTCGCCCGCGAATTCGCCGACGTAGGACCGGCGGTGACGCGCTCGGTCCCGGAGAGCCTGTCGTCGGCCAGCAGCTTCCACAGCCTCAGCAGCACCCTCAGCACCAAGAGCAGCAGCGGCATATGCCCGGACACGTCGTTCGACACACCGGACGACCTCGCGAACGTCTCCTACATCAACTCCAACATTCCCGGCGTGGAGGAGCTGATCCTCGCGTGCGCCGACATCCACCTCGGGGACGAGCCCGACGTCGTTCCGCAGGATATCAATCTCAGCCAGGACCAAACTTTCGCGTCGGCCACGGACGAGTCGCTGTTCCACACGAACGACTGTTCCCTCAGCGAGGACCTGTCGAAGTTCGTCGCCGACCCCGCTAACGAGATCCAGCTGATCGAGAGGAATTCTCAGTCGCCCAACACGTCGTCGTTGTCTCAGACGCTCGTCCCGGAGCTCAGCAGTGCGCTTCTTCCGGGTGATAAGCAGCAGTCCGCGAGCCCCACGGAAGAGGAGCCAGTCGTCCCGCCGCTGCCGCAGGAGAGTGATGATACGAGTGAAGCTGAGACGCGCAGCGCGATAAAAGACTCGCTGCTCGCGAGTAATGCGGCCGATCAGTTGGACGTAACGGCCACCGTGTCGCCGGATATCTCGTTCGCCAGCGCGGCCACGGTTAACGAGGAGCGGACGGTAGAGAGCCACCACAGCGCCGAGACACTGTCGTCGGAGGATTTCGAGTCGTGCGCCACCCACGTCTCCGCTCCGTCCACGTCGGAGCTCCCGCCGGCGCAACAGAATGCGGAAAGCCCACATTCGTTGCCCGTACCGTCGTCGCCCTTAGAAGACACCGATTTGTCAGGGCGACACGCATCAGCGTCACCGGCGGCAGCGTTATCACCCGATGATCGAAAGGTATTTACACCGACAACCGTAGATAGCTCTGACGTTCGAGCGGATACGAAGGAAGTTGACAAGGAAGAAGATTCGCCTCGAGTGGGCGAACAGGAGGATAGCGTTCAGCAGTCAAGCGAGAGCGGTGTTGCGGAAACGTCGGAAGTCCGCGGGAACCCGCAGGCCAACATCGACACGCAAGATTCGTCGGTGAGGAGCAGTGCGGCATTGAATGAAACGCAAACTCTCGTACCCGAGGAAGATATTGCCATATGTAACGAGGCCCGGCTCGTCGAGGAGCAACGTGACCCGTCGGAGACTGTGATTATACAAAAGGAGGAAGTTCTCGCGGAAGGTGCGGCTTCAACGGTTGCGAAAAAAGAGGGATCCGTCGACGGGAGTTTCGATCGCACGCTCACACTGCAGGAGATCGATGTAGACTTCGCGGCCGCGTCGAGTGAAGATCAGTACTTGGACTTTAAACCTCAGCGCCAGAGCACCACGTTGGCCCTAACCGAAGAAAAAGCAAATTTCGAGCAGTTCAGATCCACGGCGGAGAAGGTCACTAATGATCTGCTCAATTCCTCGCTGGAGTTCGTGGAGGAAGCAGATACGTTTGTCAGCGCAGCAACATCCACGAGTGAGTGCGAGTGTTCTCCTGGAACACTCCTTTTAGACAGGCTCGCGCGACCGAGAGAGAAACCTTTGTCGATTAAATGAATATTATCGCTTTGCAGTTTTCCAGGACCCCTCGACGTTTGACTTTCTGCTAGCGCGTAGTAACTCCAGGCATGCGATAGATCGCCTCAGGAAAGAGTCTTTGTACGTTAAATTCGACCCATTGGTATCGAATGCCAGCATGTTGTCTCAAGGGAACGCCCAGCCGATTAACGACGAGCAGAACGACAAGAACGAGTCGCCCCTCCCCAACGTTGGTACACCAAAACGTAATCCTGCCATAGCAGCTATAGACAGGCTGCTTTTTTATAGCCCCCTGCCTAGTGGAACAGTGCAGAAGCTAGAGGAAGCTCAGGAGAAGAATGTGAGTAAAAATCTATCCGGTTCTACCTTCAAATTCTCCAGTCGTCGTTGCGCGTTAAATGCACATCGTCTCGAGCCTGTTATTAACCAGAGAACGTTTATCTCCAGGAGCAACCAGCAGAAGAGCCTAAGTCCGACGCACCGCTTATTGCCGATATAAATTTAGCCGAGGAACTTGAGCTTGTAAGGACGACCGTGCTACGATTAGAAGAGGAATTAGAGAAGCAGAAGAAACATGAAGTCGAGTTGGAGAAGCAGAAAGGAATTTTCCAGGAGAAAAATAATAAGCTGCAGGCACAAGTGGCGCAAGAAATGAAAATGAAAACTCAAATGAGGTAAGCAATTTGGTTCTCTCTCTCTCTCTCTCTCTCTGTTTTTTAATAAAGATGAAATATATTTGAGATGTGAATTAAATGTGAGAATTGATTGTCTCAGTGTCGTCGTGGAAGAATATGAAAAATCGATCAGCAGATTACTTACCGAGCGGGAGAGGGACCGTACGAACTTCGAGCAAGAGAAGGCGAAGTTGCAGGAGGAGCTGCAGGCTGCGAATCACCATCTTACCAATACGGAGGCAGCGTTCAATGATGTACACCAAAAATACGAGAGGCTCAAAGGGGTTGTGTCAGTGTACAAAAATAATGAATCTGTATTAAAAGAAAGTATACAGGAGAATGTAGATACTATAAAGACGTTGGAAACGCGATACGATCAACTGAAGGACCATGCAATGGCTCAGCTAGAAAAGTACGTCGTGATTGAGGATCCCCGCGAGATGTCATATTTTATAAAAAAAGGCCATCCTTTGTTCTTCGAGGAGATACAGTTTTGTTTCTAATTCTAGAGCTAATCTGGAGTTGGACGGAATACGAAAGCAGAACGAGGCGGAGACGGTGAAACTGCATGCGATGATAAGAAAAGCGGAACTCAAGAGCAATTCGCTCGCCGAGCTCGTGGAGCAGAAAACCAAGGAAAATAAAGAACTCGCGATGATTCTAGACGAGGTTATTGCCAGGGTCGGTCACAGAAATCAAGAGTGAAATTATAATTATATAACGAAGTGTCGCGCGGTTAGTCTTTATTTTTTTACTCGTCCTCACTGTCTTAGCTATAACTATATGTTATTGTGATTGATGTATGTACACATGCGTTGATTCGAGTTATCAAGTTTCGTTTCATTTAAAAAAAAACGTCTTTTATTAATTATTTATAAGTTGTGACATATAACTATTTTAAAGCTAATAAAATTATGTATATTAAAAAACACGATTTCTCTCTCTCTCTCTCTCTCTCTCTCCTGTAGGATTAAAAAATATTTAATATCCTCCAAAATGGGTATAACAGTATACAAACAAATCCCGTTTTTAGATCTTACATCGTTACTATGATACATATTTCATTGTTTTATAGATTATTAAATTAAATAAAAGTCAGTGTGTATGTGGGAAACACACGTCGGCTAAATGTACAAGCACCCGCACTCGGTCACTTGCTCGCCAAAGGGAAAATTTTGTATGCAATTTTCCGTATTTGACTAATTTGTACCACCAAGTACCGTCAATCCGTTGATCTAGTATCGATGAGAAACAGTACATGATGCTTGGCTAATTTCAACATACGATCACTCGTACTGCCAGGTTTCCGCGGGATATTCTTATTTTCAAGGTCAGGCATAAACTTCTTGATTGTGCGCGCTAGATTCGCGGCGTATTGTTTGAATCTTGGATGGCTCATGCCGATGCCTTTGCTCCGTAATGCTTCGGCGACTGCCCAAAGTAGCTTCTGAAAAATAAATCAAACAAAACGTAGCATTGAGCACTCGTGGAGTGTGCGATCCGTTCTTTTTAGCTGAACTGGCCGCACTAGTTCTGGGAATTTACACACACATTGACGCGTATGAAGCGTACGGACGAGATTCTCACGCTTCAGTATGCGTAAATTTCTTGAAGCGCTAGATTCCTCCAACCGGTTCAGCTAAAGAGAACAGAACAATGATATCGCGAGCAGCGAAAGAGACTACGCACTTTTCTGTGCACGTCGCTGAGCTCGGTTCTCTCCTGACTGAAAGACGAATCATTCTTCAGCAGAATATTGCTCGACGAGTGCCTGTCCCACGTGACCTTCGAGCTGGTCTCTAACTCATGCATGCAGTCGAAGGACAAGCTTTTCGACCACTTGACTCGCGGCCCTTGCAGCTCCTCGTCGCACTTCCTCTTCCTGCTCTCTCTCAAGAGCGCTTGCTCCGCATCGTCGGACTCGGCCTCTTTCTTCTGAGTCGTCGGGAATAGAACGCGCTTGATTTTAAGGGTATCCACATTGGCCGCACCTAATAACTTACTAGGACCAGGGTGGTCCGCGGGAGGGCTCTGGAACAACGCTCGCTTCGAAGTCTCCAACTTGGATTTGCGCGGACTTGGCCCGTCCAACGTTAATCTGCGCGCCACTCTCTTCAATGCCGAATTCCTCGGACTCTTTCCTCGCGGGCTCTTCCCCCGGGGGCTCTTACCTCTGGGACTCTTACCTTTAGTGGGACTCTTTCTCTTTTTGCATGTAGGTTTCCTACAGTTTTAAGAATACACTATTCATCGCAACTTTCTTCTGAATATTACAGTATTTCCTAGAACACCTACTTAATCTGTAACATTAACTGCCTCTTGTCGGTGACGCCCAGTCCTTGTAAATTAGCGCTAGAGAAAGTCCTGCGTCTTCTGGCTAAGTAAGTCAATCTCTTTCCCGGGCTCAGGCCGTTCTCGCGCTTGCCCAGTAAACTTCGCTTCCTCGGGCTTCCCGTTTGTTGCTTCGAAAACCATATATTACAGGTTGACTGTGTTTCCGCTCCTATGTACCTCTCACATAATTTAACCGTTAAATTCTCAAAGTCTTCCACAGTCCTGCTTCTGTTGTAGCTGAAATATAAAGGAAAATTATGTTTAAGAGGTTTCAAATCATTATGTTTGGGTGTTGTAATAAATTAAGAGCATCTCATCAACATACTGTATGCCGTGGTATTTATGGGAGAACGCCTGAGGCCATGTTAAAGCTGTAGCTTCTACTTCGCTAGTTGTGTGATATAAAAGAGGAGATCGTTTTTCAGCTACATTTGAGCTATCCTCAATCGACGGAACTCTCATTGTCTGTTTCTTCACATTCACTGAACTTTTGGTCTCTTCAGAAGGATTGTACCGTAAACTTAAATTATCACTATCACCATTATCACCATTCGCACCTAATTCAGTGCTACCTGCATTAATTGATAAATCACAAGCATTAAAAGCATTTGTTAAATTCCTCGAAGGACCCTTTGTACATTGATAGGAAGTATTTCTATTAATAATTTCCGAAGTGGCTTGTTTCGCAGGTTTTGCATCGGAACTTTCATTCGACAATGGATAATTAGTCCAGAATAATTGACGGTTTTCACGAATACGTTGGAGTAAATCAGAACAGTTGCTCTGACAAATTGTATGTTTCGGCGGTGGTGGGACACCGCTCAAATACTTATTAATTCTAGCTAGCATATAATTATCTGACTTCACAACCAATTCAGCCTGGGAAGGTTTCGGAGGGCTAATCGCCGCTAGTGTATGGTCTTTGGCTGATACTGTAACTTTCCTCTTAGTTATTTCATTTTCACCATCACTGTCAAACATTTCAGGGCTAGAGACATTAGGAAATGCCCCCGTGATTTGCAAGTTATAATTTGGACTGGCGATACAGCAATCCATGGCATCCTCTGAAAAATAAAAGATGTTCACGAGAGAGAACAATTTAAATTGTGTCAGGCTCTCGAGATGTATAATCAATGAAAACATAGACAGGCCAATAATAAGAGTCAAGCACGGTTGACGACGCAACTACATTTATATTAGAATTATATAGGAAGATAAATATGTTTGACAATGTAAACGCACGCACCAACTCATTCGTCGGACCTTTTAAAAATGTATTCAGGGGAATTTGCCTTCCACGTTAAACCGATCCTATGTCCCAGTTATTAATATTTTTAATAATTCCCAATTCTCACAAATTATTAGTTAATTAATTAATCAAGCCGAGGCTTGATCCTCTAGAATATTGCGAGAAATATCTGACTTAGGCAATATTATCAAAAGAAACAATCAAGGCTTAATTAATTAATCAACTAATAGTTAGTGGCAGTTAAGGATTATTAAAAAGATTAATAACTACGATACGGAGTCGGTCTGACGTAAATTCTCCGTACAACACACTGAGATGATGATTACGATACAATCACATGGAACAGAAATGACTTTCGTAATTTACAGAGCGAAAAAATCAATAAATAATCGTATTCATTCATCATCGATCGTCAAGAAGTCTCAATGTTTACTACTTCATTACCGAGTATCGGGAATTTATCTCACGCGACATAGTAAACAATTTTCCACTGTTTCCAACAGAATTCTCTCTGCGAGACTCGCGAGGAACGCGCCGAAGGATTCACGTCGGCACGAACGTTAGTTGCCGAGTTAATAATAGTCCGCCATCTGACAATGAGCCAGCGGCAGCAATAACTGGCGAAAGAAGTCGCGGCCAACTGGATTTAACCTAACTTAACTTAAAGAAGTACCCTAGATTTTCCTTCATTCATCCGCACGAGTCGTGCACGAGGTTCGTCGACCTTACGCGCGATGCGAATTAATTTTTTGCCAAATAAACCCGCGATTGAAATAAACTCGCTTCGTCGTGACTTGATCAACGGTTCGTGTCGTGCTGGTCTAACGTAAAAATCTAACATAAAATTCTTCCTATCTCTCATTCATAGCCTATTGACGAAGATTCGAGAAAGTACGATCCAACGGCTACAATCATTCGATGATTCTGTCGTTCGAAAACGTGACTGGTGTTAGATTACCACATGCAGTTCGCTTCGACGCGAGACTATGAAAAAAATTACGTACGCACACATATGCGAACATACGCGCAATATTTACTCACGTTCCAGTAATATTGACAGCCAGGAAAACCGTCCTCCTTCTTTTCCTTTTACAGATATCCGTCTCCTTTCTGAAATAACATCACCCCCTCGTCCAATAATCGACACTGGTCGCGAGCCCAGCTTGTTTTTCAAATTCTGGAAGGATCAGGATAACCGTACCGTTTCGTGCTCACACGCCTACATCGACAAATAGACACACAAATGTGTTCCTTTCAGCCACACTGCGTCTACGTCGACAGCATCGAGGTCTTTTATAGAGCAGGCAGCTGTGATTAGCTGCGACACTTCGGCTGGTTTCGTGGTACTCTTCGGGCATGTTCGGCTTCACCTGTCATCATAAAGTCTCGTCACTATTTGTATGTCGTCCGTTTCTACCGTCGTGGTTTATCGATTAATTCAACGGATTGACCAATGGCCGCATTGGTCGACTGGCTAAACTGATCAACGGATCAATGCGATTGGCCAATTCCGTTGATATTCTTAAGATCATCTTAGGTTCGTCGTTTCATTGGCTACGATGCATCTGAAGATACAAGATCCGACTATGAATATCGGCCATATATATGTAGACAGTGACAGGAAGGTTGCGCAATGCTTGTTTTTCTCAAGTTTCGCTACGTATTCATATTCAGGACTTGTTCCTCCTCTCTAATATACTGTAAACCATCAGTCCTATGTTTAAAAAATTCTGTGTTTGAAAAATAACAGAATCAATAAAATGTATGAAAGTTTCTATATATTTTATTATAAGGGATATAGCTTGCTCGGTGCATCGATTGATATTGACGTTCACTTTACGGACCGATGTTATCAGCTCAGTAAATACACACAACAGTATATAACTCGACAATAAGGGAAATGAGCTTCTGTATTTTCAAGTAGTACGAATCAACGTTCAGTTGGAAATGTCCTTTGTGTTTTGTTGAATGATTCAACGAGAACAAAGTTGCGACGAAATTTACGTGATAGGCTAATTAGAGAAGCGTGTCCATACGTTTACGTAAGCGTCATTTATGCATAATTTCCATTTTGCGCGATACAACTTGACAAACTTCAACGAGAATCTTGACATCTTCGACGGATCTGCATTTGCATTCTTACTGCACTGTGGGAAATAAGTAAGCTTTATATCCGAAAATGCAGCTGAAGATGTCAAGCTCTGGTAAAATGCTTCTTAAATTATCATTATTTTCGCCAAAGTTACAATACGTTGCATTTTGTCTATATGTTTTAGGGTTGGAAAAAGTGATTATATATGAGGATGACTCAAAAGAATATGCTTCCTGCAGCATAGGGAGGCTCTTTCGATTTTATCGCGGTGCGCTCGTCGTCGGAACTGGCTAATGCGGGCGCTGGATTATTGTTAGTTGCGCGATTCAAGACCGCTACGTTATATTACCTTACGCATAGCCCCGCCTCTAGACACGCGATACAGCTGCGTTGGTATTTTTGACAGCAGTTTGTCGTCGCCTGCTGTGCACAACGTTACTGCTATGAAATAGTGTCGTCATCAACCGTCGTATGACTGCACAATATTGTACGGAAGAACAATAATCCTCCAGGGTCGAAGATATGATAAGATGAAATTTTATAAAGCAAGCAGCTCTTATCGGATTGAATATTTGTACGGCGGATCGTCATCGACGAAATAACTTCTGTGAGTAAAATACAGAATTATCACTTCGATTATCTTGTCGACAGATATATACTTTCTCCGTTTGTGATTTCAATGATAATACATCTGATAGCGAGTAAACGAACTTGTTTACTTTGATGTGTTTATGGAATCTTTAATCTGACAGTAATTTGCTACATGGGACAATCAATGTTGAAACATTGAACAAATAATTTTATATTATATATATTTGCATATTTTATTCTATCGTATCTAAATAGAAAATCACAGACTACTTTGGAATTTCATAAATACTTTCCTTGTACACTAATAGATTGGATGTCAAATATGTTACCCAGTCAAAGTACATTATAGTTGCCTGCTTTCTGAATGACTTGACTTTTCATTCTGATAAGATATTTCAATTAATATTTTGAATTTGCTGAGAACAAAAAAAAATGTTTTTTTTAGTAATATATTAAGATTATAAAGATAATTTTTAACAATATTTGAATACTGATATAGATAAATAAATACCTAGCTTTACCATTGTGTGATATAATGAATCATATTTGTTTAGGTAAAATTCACCATGACAACGGTGATATTCTACACCTAAGAAAGAATAGATAAGTGGGATTTATGCATAATGTTATGAAAATTGTTGGATTAGATAAAGAATTTGCACATTTTGCTATCCACAAGGTCACATATAACCAATTTGTACAATACGCTTGAAGTTAGTCAATATATACGTCAACATATACGTCACTTCTAATCATTTATTCAGCGGCCTTCATGTACTTCATGTACTTTCAATGGCAGATGGCTATATATACCAATTATAGATTGGAATACTGTGTTCTAACAAATTGTTGAGAAGCTCCTTTACAAAGGACAAAATAAATATGGCTTCTAGGCTGAAAATGTTTGCCTTATTGCTGTATAAGAATCTGATTGTGCGCAAAAGACACTGGCGTACGATAATATTCTTACAAACTTTGGTACCTATTCTATTGTTCTCATTATTACAAGCTGTAAGAGATTATAGTGTTAAATCGCCAGTTAACATAACGAAGAACATACACTATCCTATACAAACGAAAGCTGATTTGACTAATATTGATCATGACTTGACCAGACTATATTATTTGCCAAAAAATAATTATACAATTAGAATTATGGAATCCACAAGATATTGCCTCGGGCTTATATCTGAAAGTAAGCTCAAAGTACTTTTATATTTTTGAAATATAATTATAGAATTTGTATTAGTGTCACGTCCTTTCTAAAATGTATCGATATAACTATTATTCTTTTTCTTCCATATAGATGTGAAAGGTTTCTCAAATGAGACTGAAATGGTAGACACTTATACATTGGTCCAAGCTGAAAATCCACTGATGACTGTTATGGCGGTTGTTTTTGAACAGTATGAGGGGAGAAACATGAAGTACAAAATTAGACATTCTTGGAAGGTTCCATATAATTTATTCCAAACTTTTGAAGGTGAACATCTGGGCGCAACACCTACTGCGTATTTCGATTTAATCCCATTTGCACAGATCCAGATGTGTGTAGATGAAGCACTTATAAACCAAAAAATACCCGATTACATGTCCAACATAAAGGTACTGCGTACACATACATACACACATAAATATTCGGAAGAAACATATAAATATGAATGAATGATTTACTACCGCGAAATATCGAAAAATATATCTGCGCGTATGTGGAAACATTTTGGGATTTGTATTTTTTTTAGATGTCAATACAAAGAATGCCTTATCCACCACATGTTAAAATAGACGATAGTGATACAATACTACGTGCAATGATTGCTACGTTTGCAGTTATAATTTTTATTATTCCACTTTGTGTCGAAGCCAGCTATGCAGCTCAGGAGAAATTTATTGGTGTAAATGTTAGTATCATATAATGTCTGTGTTGTATTTTGTGTTTTTTTTTTAATTGCCAACAAATCTAAATATCAATTACCTGTTTTGCCGCAGGTTTTAATGGCGATGAACGGCGTTAAACAGTTCTACAACTTGTTAAGCTGGCTGTTTATAGGAATATTATTTAGTAATCTATATATAATACCAATAATCGCATTGTTTAAGACTACTTTTAATAAAGGAGTTGTCGTAGCCTACATGCACTATGGAAACGGGTTTATATTTTGGCTTCTATTCACTGCGAATATTGCTCACCTTATATCTTTTGGCATGCACATTGCGGCATATTTTTCGAGACGTAAGACCTAAAATAAGTAGTAGTTTTTTTATATCAATATAATATAATATCAAAAACTTGTAAAATAATAAAATTCGATAATATAATATCTTTGATATTATTATAAATTATATTCTTAATACAATCTCTTTACAGCACGTTTTGTGACAATTGTCTTATCGATTACCTACATAGCGGCGTTTGCACTTCATGAGAACTTGTGGAACAGCGGAGCTTTTAGAGTTATACCATATTTTGGTATAATATTCCCGAATATTTTGTTCTATAGATTGTTTGAAGAATCAAATACGTATGAAAGTAAACGTATGTAATTATTTCTAGTCTTGTTGTATTGATTCTAGCTTATTGGATAGATTTTAAGAAATTTGTACAAAGCTTTTCTGTCTCTTTAGTGATTGGCGTTCAGTGGGATAGTTTTTTCGTCACCGGAAATATAGAATACGGTATGGTAGGAAGTACGGGTTTTATATTTCTCTTCTCAATTTTGGGTGCTGTGATACATTTTACACTCGCGGTGTATATAAACGCTGTGTTCCCGGGGAAATACGGGGTCCAGAAAGATCCATTCTATTTTTTGAAAGTAAGTTTACACATACACGCGCGAAGAGGGATTCATGGTAGAGTGGAAGTAACGACATGTTTATGTAAAAAAAGAAACACGTCACATTTCTTCATATAATTCTCATTTTTCCAGTGTATGAAGAAGAATAAAATATCTCTCGATGATGAAGCTGGCGAGTTGGATTATGATAAAATAGGCAAAGAAAATTTTGAGCCGGTTCTAGGCAATGCACTTATACCTGGAATACAAATCCGCGATCTTAAGAAGTCTTACACAACAAACTGGTTACGAAAACCTGTAAATTGATATATCGTAAAGAGAGAGAGAGAGAGAGAGAGAGAGAGAGAGAGAGAGAGAGAGAGAGAGAGAGATGTTACATTTTAGGTAAATTGTAGTTAACGTTGAAATATGTTATTTCAGCAAGTCCACGCATTAAGAGGGATTTCCGTGGACTTTTACAAAGGAGAAATTACTGCCCTATTGGGACATAACGGGGCGGGCAAAACTACGCTTATGTCTATATTAACAGGTACCATCTCGCAAAATAGTTTTTACATATTGGAGCTAAAGAAATATTATTTTTTGCCGGGACTATACGTTAGATTTATATTTTAATAGGCGTGACCGACCAAACGCAAGGAAAAGTATTTATAAACGGCAAAAATATAGTAGAGCATTTAGAGAATATTAGAAACGATCTGGGTTTGTGTCCTCAGGAGAACATGGTTTTCCCAGATTTAAACGTATTCGAGCAGATAGAATTCATTGGCTTGGTAAGGTTGATAAGACGATAATACTTATAAAACACAAAGGCAATTATGTTTAACCATGTGATTTCAACGTTATAACAGTTAAAAGCTGAGCGGAAGAGCAGGTACCAGATCAGACAGGACGTCGATCTTTTGCTTTCCAAACTAAAGCTTTCCGAGAAGAGGGATTTTCTGCCTAGCAAACTTTCCGGCGGTCAACAGAGAAGATTATGCCTTGGGATGGCACTCATTGGCGATGCTAGCGTAAGTACCAATGCAGATATGTGTATTCATAACATATTATCTACATTGATCCATTAAAATACTTTGTGTAGATTATAATTTTGGATGAACCGACTTCGGGAATGGATCCTGAGACCAGAAGAGACACATGGGATATGATATTGGTGAGTAGCCTTAAGTTGAGTTACTTCAACTAATTGGGCTGCCGTGATGTCTTACAACATTTGATTTTCTCTCGTCAGAAACTTAGGGGAGAAAAAACAATATTGATTAGCACGCATAATATGGAAGAGGCTGACATACTTGGCGATAGAATCGCGATAATACATATAGGTCGCCTAAAGAGTTTTGGTACAGCGATGTTTTTGAAGAAACAGCATGGTAAGACACGTATTATTTTGGACTTGTTGATACGTAAACGCTGCTCTTTGATTCTTACAATTCCATCTTGCGCGTCGTCAGGTCATGGTCATGTAGAAGTTACCTTATCGATCAAGTCCTGGTGTGAACCAGCGAAAATCATCAATAAATTTGACCCGAGAACGCAACAACTCAGCGTTGATAGCGAGAAGATGCTCCTGAGTGTACCATACACTGCTTCTTTACCACGATCGCTGGATAGTGTAGAGAGCGAGAAGAAAAAGCTAGGAGTCACTGGAATAAGCGTATCATTGATTACATTGGAACAAGTATTTTTAAAGTATGCTTTTATCGTTACGATTACTACGATTACTAAGATAAATAACATTTTTTTCCACACTATTCTCCTTAATCTCACCTGCTTGTTGAACTATCCGTAGGATCGCAAAGAATGAGGATAATGGAAAACATCTTAACGAGCTGTTTACAGCACCAGTAGACAAAATTAGAGGCAACGAGCTATACTTGCAATCATTATTGGCGTTGCTTTCCAAGAAGTTCACATATACGAGGAAAAACTTGGCCAACTTATTGGCGATGGTATGCATTTCTTTCATAATAGTTACGTTACAATTATGCCAGAGAGATGGCTTGTATCATGCTACTGATATTTGCCGTTGAAACGTAGAAGTTGCTTCTGTTGTTAATTCCGCCGTTTGATACTTTCAGCTGATGTTTCCTCTCCTGTCGATACTTTTAATATCCTTAAGTTACAATTTACCGAGTGACCCCACAAACATTGTCCCGTTGAGACTTGACATGTACAGATATCCGAAAGCTTTATATTCTTCTGACAACGAAACAATCGGCCGGATATACGAGGACACCGTCAGTGATTTCGGCGGGTCCGCAGACGCGGTTTTTGATACGAGTGTTACAAACGGTAAATGCTGACACGATATCGTATCGTTGTAGCATCAATGGTAGACCGACGTCCTTATCTCGGTCTTTTCTTCTTCCAGCGCTTCTAAATATTTCCTTGATTAATATCGCGGAGTATCGTAACAACTATATCGTGTCCGCCGAATTTAACTCCACTATGAACGAGACATTGGTGAACGGTTTTTATTCCGGCATTGCACTGCACGGTGTGCCGTTGACAGTGAATCTCCTGAGTAATACGCTGATCAAGACTTTCGCCGACAATAAACACTCGATTGACGTGTCCAGGCAACAATTGCCGAACACACTCGCCTCGACCAGAATACAAATGCCAGAAGCGGAGTCGCTTTCGCGAACTTTGCTGTTTTGCGCATTCTTCTTCCCCACTGTGGCGATCTACGTGGTACATCCATTGCAGGAAAAGGCAACGAATGTTAAGCAACTTCAACGTATGACAGGCGTCTCAACTGTGTCGTACTGGGGAACAATGTTCACTGTCGATTTTCTGATATATACTATGTCTGTGCTGATAATTGCTTTAGCATATTACATTATGGATGTTATTCTTGATATCCGTCTATATTATAGAATAGAAATAAGTAAGTAATATCAGAAAGAAATAAGTAACTTATATATCAGTTCATTACATTTTATTCTTCTTACACTCATTCCCGCTTACTGTTTCTTTTTCAGTCTCTACAATATTGCTTCTGGAATTGTTCGGTATTAATGTTCTATTTATAGTGTACATGTTCAGTTTTCTATCCAAGTCAAGGAGCACGGTAATAACTATTTTGAGTCTGGCACCTCTCGGTCTCGGTAAGTTTACTGTGTGATGCATGTTTCTGAAGATTTTATTAAAAATATATCGAACGGATAAGAAGGAATAAAACTGAGAAATGTTTATTTCAGTTATAATACAATATGTGCTACATGAACTGATACATACTTTCGACAATCTTAAATTATTACACATTATACAAAAAAGAATGTTTCGACTAATTCCTTACGTAAGTTTGTATCACGGGCATCTGGCCTTTTACAACATAGCCATGCAAAACGCGAGGTGTCGTCGTCTGCCGAATAAACTTCATGAAATAACTTGTTTCGTCCGCGATCCTTGCTGTGGTAAGATTGTCGATATCTATATATATAAAATATGTTTTTATATTTTCTGCGTGTGCTATTAACTTAGAGACAGAGGCTTATTTCCTTGTCATTCTGGTCACAGGCTTGGATTGTTCAGACGGAGAATGCAGAAATCAAACCCCTTACTTTCAAAACTTCAAAGACGACATTAACTTCGAGGAGTGCATATTGTATCTCGGTCTAACGCCAATTTTATATTTTACTATATTGCTGTGTCTGGAGGAGAAGCTGTTCCCGTTGATATTTAGGAAGGCCGTCAAACCGCAACTGAGGGACGCTTGCGACAAAATGGACGATCAAGTGAAGAAGGAGAAACATGTGGTAGCGTTAGAAATCAATAAGATAGCCAACAAAAGTAAGTAAAATTATTTGGAGTATCTTCCGGATAATAATGTCCCGGTACGAAAAATTTGGATATGTTTTTAGGTATAACCACAAACATCGAGGTACAAAACCTTAAAGAGGAATTTGCCGCTAATAGAAATAGCGAGATATTGCAAAGTCCAATCAGTGAGGGCGACAGTCTATTCTTGGTGTACGAATTAAGCAAGTACTACGGCAAGCTGATGGCCGTGAGAGAGATCAGTTTTCGAGTGAAGGCACGGGAGTGTTTCGGACTGCTTGGCGTGAACGGTGCCGGGAAAAGCACGACTTTCAGAATGCTAACTGGAGAAGAGACACCTAACAGCGGTATAATGTACTTAGGAAGAGCGAACATTCATTCGAACAGGAAAGAGGTAACGACAGTCTCACATTTAAACGTTATTTTCAGTATTAATCCTCGCAAGGAAAGGTGATGCAGCAGGATGTGAACAGAAAGATGGAGTCACGAGTGACTCAAATACATGACTATGCATTCTGCTTGATTAAAAGGATTTGATTGCAAGGAAATGACATAAAGATCATACGGAACAGCAAACAGTATACTTTTGAATATACTTTTCAAGACTATTGTAATAATATAACAAATAACGTCTCTTCCTGGGGTTATGAATGACCTCTATCTTTCCTTGCAAGGGTTAAGGCTTTTAATCTCTAGTTGCAGTCATCTTGTTTGATGACATCAGAAGTGAGAAAACGCATGTTCAAGAATTCTCCTCGCCTCTGACGGCATTAATTAAAAGACTTCTCAGCGGCGAAGGAACAGATGCCTTAAAGGTATTTATTTCTATTCGCAGTATCTGTCCGAGATGGGCTACTGTCCGCAAACCGACGCTTTAATTCCTTCCCTGAACACTTTCGATCATTTACGACTGTTCGCTCGTCTCCGTGGCATACCGAAGTCGAACGTGGAGTTGGAGGTCAACAAATGGATCAACAGACTGAGTGAGTGCATCACGATGTTAATAGACGAGCGACGGATCAAATAGACGTAAAGTTTTAAGAGAAGCCGGAGTCCTCTGTACAAAGCGCATACGGGCTGCGACGAAACACTACTTCTGCGTATTCATCTTTCAGACTTGACTGCTTACATGTGGCAGCCAAGCGGTACTTACAGCGGCGGTAACAAGAGACGCTTGAATATCGCAATGGCTCTTATCGGTAATCCTACTCTCGTGCTTCTGGACGAGCCTACCACCGGCGTCGATCCCGCGGCCAGGAGATCGCTGTGGAACACCTTGCAGTCTTGCCAGGCGGCTGGGCAAGCCATTATACTTACGTCGCACAGGTGAGCCCGATTGAATTGTCCTGGTACTTCAAATATTCGCGCTGAGACCTCGGTGGGACTCACCAGGGCGGATATTAACACTGCACATTGTCCGACAGCATGGAGGAATGCGAGGCACTCTGCAATCGCCTAGTCATCATGGTGAAGGGTCAGTTGGTTTGCATCGGCGCGAGCCAGGAGCTGAAGCAACGATTTGGAGCGGGTTACGATATTCACGTCAAACTGAATCCGGATCGCACGGACGAGGAAGCCGAGAGCATCAAGAACATCATCGAGTCGAGTTTAACGTGCGACATTCGAGACGAAAATCTGGTAATAACATACGTGTTCTTTCGTTCTTTTCAAAGTGTTTCCTCTTCCTTCAGTTGTATTAATTTCTCCTCGTTTCTTTTTTTTTTTTTCATAGGGGTTACTGGCCTACCATGTAACCGATTGCGACACAACGTGGGAAAAAATGTACAACACGATGGACGATGTGAAGCGAAGGTACAATTGCATCGAGGATTATGCCGTGTTGTCGGCGACCTTAGAGCAGCTGTTTATACAATTCGCGAGAGGAGCTGAAGCACCGCCGCCGCCGCCTCAAGAAGAACCTTCAGATCATGCTAGTCATGAAGAAACAGTATAAGTGTGATTTATTAAATGTTCCGATATTATACCAATATTATTCCGATATTATATGAACAATGCAATAAAAATACGATAAAACGCGTTTCGATGAGTTATCGATTAGTCGCTCAATGAAATGACTTTTAGATGTCGCTTTTAATTTATTTCGCGAAATAAAATTATACAAAGATAGATATTTTTCGTGTAATACACTTATGTAAATAATGTATTTTTTCTCCCTGTATACATGTGAAGTAAAAGTATTAATTTAGATTATTTTTTATTAAGTATTGTACACTTCACATTGTGTTAATATACACTTTTTATTCAAAAAATATATGTATACATAAAAACATCGTAGTTGATACATGTATAATTATAGTGTCTATGTAAAGTGCGTGTGTGTTTTCAATTACCCAAATCATGTTGCGTACACTTGACAGATGCATGACTTGGCAATGTTCCTAGAGTCTCAACGTTACAGCATCTAGAAAGTCTAGCAGCATTGCACCGGTATACAAAATCGAGAGGGAAGAAAAAGAAGATCGGAGAGCAGGCATTCCATAAATAAAAAAAAAAAACACTCGTATTTTCCATAAATAAAGAGATTTGCATGAATGACACTGTTATGTACACAAGCCCGTCCGCGGATAAGGTTATCGTAGTGAAACGGTATCTGCGTGTGGTGGGTGTGTGTGTGTGTTCAACACGATGACTGGTCGCGAATTCGCTGCCTAATATCGGTATCCTCCGCCGGCCGAACTCGTCTGGTACGAGCTCGGTCCCTGATAAACACCACCACCCCCGTGACTACCGCGACCGCCGCCTCCTGCAGGATGGAAAAAAAGAGATAAGTAGTAGACGAGATATAACAAATCAATGAAAACAAGCCTGAGTATGAATTGTCACGATAAGAACAACAATCTATATGCTATATATATCTATATTCGATCACGTCCGGAGTTTATGGATTACCTCCGCTAGGATAGCCAGCTCCTTCCTGCGAATATCTACCGTCCTGATTCTCGCCTCTGGCTTCGGCGGCGAGCGCCAGTTCAACGCCTCGTTGAATTTCCGGCGGAATCGGGGGCGGTGTCGGCAAGTGGGCACCTTGAGGATGGAAACCATGCTCGTCCGCTGTGTACGTGATCGAGTATTGCATACCGTCGGGCCCGGTGTAAGAGTAGGATCCGCTCACCGACTCGGATTCACCTGCAATCGACACGCACCGTTTTATTTCGATGCAACGCATTGTCGAGTCGACGCATTGCGACACAACACTTCAACGCTCCTCAATGCTTCTCCTATTCAGGCGGCTCTTCACTTTTTTAACACTCATTATCGGCGAAAACCCAATATATCGAGGAGCAGTGAGACTTGACTGAAAAATGGAAATTGCGATCTCTCACCTTGCTGGTGGCCCGTTTCTTGAACGGCGATGCCGTTTCCGGTTTCGTAGCTGAACTGGTAGTTCCCGTCGCCGACGTTATCGCTGCTGTAAGCGATGATCGGTATCTCCTGACCGCCGGGTCCGCCTTGTCCGCCTGAAATGAAAAATGAAACGATATGATAAAACTTCTTTCGAGAGAAATGAAAACTGTTTTATTTCAAGTATAATTCCAAGGGATGAATTGACGTGTAAGAGATTTTATTTACTTTAATATACTTACATATTAATTGTGTGTATGTGTAAGAATTTTAATATTATAGAAATAAAATGAAAATATCGTACACACAAGGAGGAAAAATTGATTGAATTAACATGAAAATTAACAAACCGGATACTTTTTGGTTAAAAGAAACAGAATTTCTAGTCCTAAGAACCGAATTTAATTCATGAGAACTAAAAGTTTTGTTTCCTTAAAAAAAGGCGTTTGACTTGTGTTAATTCAACCCAATTTTTCTTCTCCATGTAGTGGAAAATTTTGTTTTTAGAACGAGAATTCTATTTGAGATTAAATGCAAACTCTGCTTCTTTCTTTATCTTTGTTTCGACTTACCACCTGGATAAGCGCCGCCGCCACCAGGACCGAATCCAGGCCCACCATGGCCGCCGGGTCCGCTAGGTGGGCCATAGGTACCAGGCCCACCGGGTCCAGTAGGTGGACCATAGGTGCCAGGTCCACCAGGCCTTCCATGGCCACCAGGCACAATAGGTGGGCCATAGAGACCAGGCCCACCAGGCCCTCCAGGTTTAATAGGACCACCGCGTCCTGGAGGGATCAATCCTGCCCCTCCCGCACTCCCGGCGCTACCGGGCGGGAGGTAGGTGCTATCCAGCCGTGCAGCGTAGCACGTGCCGACAATAGTCAGTAGCGCGATCACAAGCTGTTGAAATAATCCCAAAATATAAATCCCGAAATATAGCAAAAAAAAAAAGTAAACACTCTTCGAAATACCGGCATAGATTTAAAGCGGAGCCGTCTACCAGACGCCCGGCCTGCATTCGTATCCCGGCGGGAAAGAGATAAAGAAACGCGGTAATTGCTCGCGAGCGTCTGTTAAACATCTCCCGAGAATGAAGCAATTGAGCGATATAAATATAACAAAGTTTCATCTTTCTCAGACTCCGTTTCGCGAAGTTTCACACGAAAGAGTCCCACGGTACCCGGCGAAGAATCGCGCGGGACACCTCGCGGAGCGCCGCCGGTTCCGGTCGGGAGATCCGCGGAAGTACGGGCCGCAGGCTTTACCGCGTTGCTCGTTACCGGTCTCATCTCGCTGATTTTGGCCACACGTATTCTCGCTCGTCGATCGAATTTCAGGTCGGTGTTACTCGTTCGTCGCACTGCAGCGGGTGCCCGAGTGTGTATCGCCAAACCGACGACGATAATTGGTCTGCACGGATCCAGGTCGGATCCAGCATGCTTATATACCGATCCCGCGGAGGATCGTCTTCCTCCCACCCGCCAATGAGAAACCGCGCGGATGGCATCGCGCGCGCGGCTAGAGATCACCCGGTGTGCGTTCCTCGAAGATTCGCCATCTCCTCGCTGCGAAAGGAGTCGGCGGTGAGAGAGACGGAGAGCGGAGCTTAGGAGAAAGAGAGAAAGAGAGATACCGATGCCGGATGAAGAGAAGAGCACGGTGACGAGGGGCGGCAAAGGAGGCGGCTCTCCGTCGAGTAACGTGGGATGAAGGGTGGTTGCGCAACGCCGGGTGATACAGATCGGCGAGCATCTCCGAACGGGCCTGAAGGTCGGCCAATGGGGTCAACCTGAAAGTAAAGCGATAGGGTCGAGATAGCAGATCGTGCTAAGTGGTAAAGAGAGCTGAGGTAAACGCCACGGTTATTGTATCGTTTAGAATACAATGTTTCATTCTCTCGCTATTCACACGGCGAACTGCCCTGCGCTGTTCAAAAGTGGACGTCAGCGAGTCAAGGTGCGCGACTCGTCGGAGACTGTTTCCACGTATCTGAAATCGCCACAAAGGATGCACGCGTCTCGATGAACAGAAAAGCAGCCGCCGACGGTACCTCGACGCGCGTTCTCCCTTGTAATTACACCGGCGGGAATTATACCCGTGCGCATCACCGTCGTCACCGTCACCACCGTCGCCATCCGCGACGGTGGCTTATGGAGAACAACGCGCGCGCAATCGAGCGGGCTCGTTGTGCAATCGGTGCGTCGAGCATCTCCTGGTACGCATACCGATGATGGTGTGCGTGCGTGCGCTAGGTCGGGTGCACCTGGGACGATTTCCCGTGGCGGCCCTAAACGTCGTTGATGCGCTCGCTCGTTTTGCGGCGCCTGTAAAGACCGAGGGTTTATCATCCGCGCGGTTACGGCGAGAGTTATTAACGGCGAGCTATTACCTCGTCAAGAGCTCACGTGCATTTTCCTCGAGTACCGTCGGAATATATTCGGATAATTATACGACCGGGGGTTCGGGGAAGAATATCGTCGAGGCGTGAATTGGATCCGGTTGCTCGGTGGATTCGACGGTTACGTAAGAAGAAGATAAAGGCTGATCGGCCCGAAGAGCGCAAAACTCGCAGGCATGGTGGTCTCCTAGGCGGGAGAGTGTTACACATCGGCGCAATTTGTGCGTAGAACACGGCGCCATAAACGGTTTCGTGAAAAGCGCTAGGTATCCCCGATCGGCACGTTAACGATCCGCCTTTGGGTCACCGTACTCCGTAGACGCCTCGACGAGATGATCGCGCATCCCAACGCGCTCACTTCGACGGAGAGAAAGACCCGGCGATCGAGCGGTCGAAACCGTGGGGGTCCATATTTAGAGATCGCAAGTGGATGTTCCCACATCGCGGTGATGTTATTTCACATCTCATCGCGCGAGCATGCATGGAGGGACAACCGCGACAGATCTGAAACGCGCAAGAAGCGCACGGTTCCGTCGGTCTGACTGAATTTCCCGCACGGAGATTCTACTCAGTCGACCAAATTTTAGCGCATCTGAGTGTTCGCAATGTTCCGACAACGGAGATGTCGTGTTTCCTGTCACCGAGTTTCCATCCAGTTGCGGGAGTTTTCTTATCCGTATACATGAATTGTGTATATCCGTTTATAATGATTAGCGATTGGATTCAAGACACACAAAAGGAAGCCTCTCGAATATTTCCCGAGCGATCCTGATCATCACAATTGAATCATTCGGAAATGTCCCTCGCTACGTACGGCGGCCTGGTTCCCGAGGTCGAGTAGATGTACTCCGCACGAGTGTCTGGCTGGATGCAAGGGGCGCGGCTGCGGTAAAAATCATGTCGATCGTGAGCTACGAGTTCGATAATAGGATACGGCAACCGTATCGAGTCATCGCATCCCACTCCGTCGGTGCTTTCTAAGAGAATCGCGACGCCGATATTCCTCGAGAGGACCCAGCCCTTTTAGCACGCTATCCGTGCACTCATCTACATCGGCTGCTCGTGTTATGCCAGAGGTGAGGTGAGGTTCACTGGCGCGGGAACTCCTCGTCCAGCTGGCTCGACGGATTTGAGGACCCGAGGTGTATCGAATTCCATCAGCGCACCACAATAATTGGAAGGTAGACGAGCAATCCAGCCGTCCTTTGCGATTAATCGCCGGTCACTTACAATTTCACCAAGTCAGATCTTATCGATCGCGCTGAGGGTGGTGTCGTCCTTTGTGTACATCGCTCCTGGATTAACGTTCCATCAAGCCGAAGGATATTCGATAGAAGTTATCTCATGGGCCGAAACCTGCACGAGAAGAAAAATTCCGTTGGTGTGACTGAATTTTTTGCTGCCTGGGAACTGAAGGAAAACTCGGCCGCAAGAACAGAATAAATTCCCGCAGGAGGTTTCTATCGAAGATTGTTCCCGGTGGTCTCAGTTTTTTAACGCAGCTGAACGCTCACACGAGTATTCTCGGTCACGGTAATGGAAATATTATTTCTTGCCACCGAGTTTTCATCCGGTCTTCGTTCAATTGTAAGAATCGAGGCTTTTTTCCCGTGTGAAAATATCTTTGATACGTTTTGCTTGCGCAAATTCGTAATCACTGCCGGCCGAACCCGATCGATCTTCGACAATATTCGTATAATCGCGGAAGTATGTCGAGGGTCATTATTGAAGAGCGATATATAATAAAGAGATTGTGCTCAGAACCAGAAGCGTGTGCTCTCCCTCCGCTCTCCTTGTTACGACCTCGTGCACGCGATCGCACTATTTCGAAAGAATAGCCTGCGTCGGAGGTCGATGGAGGGAAAAAAAAAGCTGCGGTCTCTCGGCAGCTCTTACGTGTCGCGGTCTTGACGCAACTCGGCGACGCAGCAAAAAATGGAGGAAAGGAAGAAGAGCGGATCAGAGGTTTCTACGCGAGGAGTTGAGGGGAGCAGACGCTCGCGAGAGGTGATCGCGATCGCGATCATTTTTGTCTTGTTGCGCTAAATTTCGGCAACGTAGCGATACAGTCGCGGCGAAGTCAATCTTGTCCGCTAATTACGTTGCCGATGGAGGCGTTCGGGTCAAAAGTATCACGCGCTCCTAAAAAAATAAAAATACTGTTATCAATCGCGGAGAAAATTCCAATTCCGTTAGTATAACGGAATTTTCCGTTGCCCGGGGACCAGACGAAAATTTGATCGTGGGAACCGAAAGATTCCTAGGAAGGTAGGAGGCTTCTACTCGGTCAAAAACGAATGTTCTCAGTCGCGGTAACAGAGATATCACGTCTTGTCGCCGAGTTTTTACCTGATCTCTATTTTGTCGCAGGAACGGAGTTCTTCTTTTCGTGTATTTATTCGTTTGACGCGTGATTCGTCTATCAATTTTATTTTAATTAATCTATATTAAATGTTTACACGTGTAACACTCACTGTAATGCGATTAGATTGTTGCTTATTTTCTAAGTAGAAACTCAGGCTTAATCTAATTTTCTGACGCCATCGAGAGTGATATATATATATATATATATATTATAATATATGCTCACTATATATAACTTATATAGGACGCGTACGTGTCTGATTACCATGAGAATCGATTTCTTCACGTGCGTGAAACGCTAAACTTAATTATGCGCCAATTTGTGCCCGCTTCGATCGCGTTGCAAATAAGAGGAAAACACACAAGACCGTCGCGTTACATCATCGCGATTGAACTCCACGACTCTGTACTGTTTTCACGGTGCGCATAATTAGGATACCCCCGTCAATTTCCGTTACCTTACGCTTGGAACTGCATTCCGCCATCATTAATGGATATTGTCCGCGTCTGTTACTTCATTTTCATATCTCCCCGCTCGGACTGCTACAAAATGGAACGGCATTATTTTATTGCCGGCTAGTATCTTCCCACGATCATCTCTGTCGATACGTACTTTCTATGGGTAACATGATGGATGTTCCTCGCTGGAATCAATGATACAGGGTGTTTCAGACTCGTCGGATGTCGCTTTAATTCTTCGTTTGACATTGTATTCTGCCACAATTACGATGTACAGTGTGATTTATAGCATTTTTATAGATTTCTATCTCTTTTTGTTCCTCCTAGAAGAAAAAGGTACGCACATTTATATATTTTGATATATTATATACATACATACATATATATATTTTTTTATGCACATATCTGATATATATATTTATATATACTTTATTATATATTTATTTCGCATCGAAATTAGATAACGTGTCGCGGAATGTTGGCCCGCGAAATATTGAGTTTTGCGTTCCGTTGTCCTATCGATCGGGGTGAAGACGCCTCGGTCTATCAGCGATAGCCGTCGCGATGCTTTATCGCGATCTTCACGGTTACACCAACGATGCTCTCGCCGGCTGACAAGCCGAGAGTGAATGGGTGCTCCGGCTCAGTAGCCTGAGCCTTCCCGAGAGGTGAGCCGAGAGCAAATGAAAATATGGTTCAGGCTGCCAGCTGAAGTCGGTTGCATAATACAACGAAGGCGCGTCGCGACGTGCTCTCGAATCGCGCGTATCTCGGACAACTACTATATACGAGACCTCATCGTCCTCGTCGTCAACGTCGTCGTCGTCGTCGACGCTGACCTTTGAGAAGCGCATCGGTTCGTTCCGAAGGGTGCCGCCGTCACGGCAAACAGGAGCAATTCGAGCACGACCGACCGCTCGTCTAGAGGATGCCGACGTCGGTGAAGGACGATCCGATTTCGAGTCGTAGATTCGCACTCGGCTGGCTGGCTCGCCTTGAGCGGAATATAAGAGGAAGCGCTGGCGTGATCGGCGAGCAGATCGCCGGGCAATCCGATCGATCGAGCGCGCCGACGGGATCGCCGATCGAAATTCCGCGCGGAGGGTGAATCCTTTCGCCGACTTTCGGACGGCGGCTCGCATCTAGTTTCTCCGCAACGAGGCACTCGTAAAAGTCGATGAGGCACGATGCGCCGGTGTTCGTTTTCTCGGCCTGACGCAATTCGCGCGCGCGCACGGCGCGCACATTAGGATCGATTGGAAGATCGTTACCTGCCGGACGCGATTTATCAATTGATACAAATATCACACCGTCGGCGCCGTTTCGTTCTCGCTTAACATTGTTCGCTCCCTCACGCGCGACCTTGTGTCCATTGGCCGAGCAATTAGCGCGATTGCGAAAAGCTCTTGATAAAAATGCGACGGAGTCCCTTCTCCCCTAGAAGGCAAGCGTCGATTAGGAATGGCGTTTCAAGTGCGACGCGCGTACAACAAATTCCTCCGGACATACAATACAATACGTGGAAAGAGCGGCCGATTAATCGTGCGTCTGTAACCGCACAGCAATTACATTGTACGTATTGACGCGCGATGCTGTAATCCGGGGCGCTAATTAACCATTCGACTCGATTCCACTGGCGTCGGGTAATGCAAAACTTTCGCCGTAATTATTAGCAAATAGTTCGTTACGAAGACCTCGTCTATCGATCAAACCGGTTATGATCCGCTGATCGATCTGGAGAGCAGAAAAAGACAAAGAGCAAGAGGATTCGACGGTACAAATAAATTATTATAATTATTACGTATACGAATAAACAGTTCCAGTTTCTCGTTTCAAATTTTCGAAAGGAATCATCGAGCACGATAGTGTCGATACTCGTTCTAATCAAGCGGAATTGCGAGTATTCATTAACCTATCCAGTTTCATCAGAACAATTAAATTGAATTCCATTTCCCGTATACTTTATCTGAAATGTCGGCAATGTTGCGTACGCGCTCGATAATTCCCATTTACCACCGGCAATAATTACCGAATTCGTCAGACTCTCGCTCCGCTCAGCAAGTTGAGGTTAGATCAAAGCCGAGCGCCTCTAGTTGCGGCAGTCCGCCGAGACGCATCGCGTTCGACGCGGCATCTGTCGGCCGCGCGCGAGACTCGCAGCGACACGCTCCCGAGCGATTCAAATCCCGCCGAGCGGCTAGAGGCACGGTTGTTTCGCCGGTGGTCGTTCGCGCGAAAACCGTTATTGTGCGGCATCGTCGACGCATCAAGTCCGTGCGTGCCGTTCGGGCGACGAAGAAAGAAGAAGGAGACGAGCGGTCGAGGACGATGGCGGACGAAGAGGAGGCCGAGTGTCCGAACAACGCGCAGCTGTTCCGGATGGCGATCTCCCACACTTTCAAGAACATCGCCGAGTCCGTGAGGTAAGCAGCGAGACGCGCACCGCCGTCTCCTTTCGATTTCGCGCGCTTAACCTCTCTCTTCACGTCCGCGATGTGTGCGTGTATTCGTAGCTAGGCGAGCTTGTCGAGCGGAGTCGTCGTCAGGCAGACGACAACTCCGGAATCTGGTATCTCGTCGCGACTCTTATCTCCCGTGCCGTAATCATCGTGGAATCCTGCGAGCTGGACATCCTCATTGTGGAGCCCCCCCCCCCCCCCCCCCCCCCCC